CATGGCAAATATGAGGCGATTAAGGCCCTTCTCCTTAAGACATTTAGCTTATCTGCTAAGGAGAGGGCCCGCCAGATACTTGACATTCAAGGCCTAGGAGACAGCAAGCCATCCCAGCTAATGGAGAAAATGCTAAATCTGCTAGGGGGGGGAAGATCCCCGGATTTTATTCACGGAGATTTTCCTGCGTCACTTGCCTCCCCGGGTACAGACGGCGCTGGCCAACACGCCTGTCACGGAGCCCCGTGCTTTGGCTGAGGAAGCGGATCGTTTTTTCCTGGCTACGCAACAGCCCGGGGCAGAGACGTTAGCCGCGACGCTCAGCGGCCCACCGGCAGTCAAGAAAGCGTGGCGGAGGTCGGACACGGCTGTGGCTAGCCGGCGTGGAGACGCCGGAGAGTGCGTTTACCACGCACGTTTCGGGACAAGGGCAAAGAGATGCATCGCTCCGTGCAGCTACAAACCCCCGGGAAACGGAGGGGCCGGCGCTCAGTAGTGGCTCTGAGCGTCGGCGGCACGTGCAGGCTCCTCTTCGTCAGCGACAGCGTTTCGGGGAGCCTGTTTCTGTGTGACACGGGCGCTCAACGGAGCGTAGTTCCAGCGTCGAGTGAAGATGTCGCCCGTGGGGGGCACGGACCGCGATTGACGACGGCTAACGGCAGTCCCATTCGCACGTACGGCGTGAGGCCTATGTGTCTGTGCATCGGAGGACAGCGTTTCAGCTGGGATTTTGTGACAGCGGACATTTCTTTTCCCCTCCTCGGAGCAGATTTTTTGTGTGCTCATGGACTCTTAGTGGACGTTAAGAATAGGCGTTTGGTTGATGCCTTAACGTTTTCTTCCCTCGTGTGCACACTTGGCAGCGCAGCGTACGACGGGCTGTCAGGCTCGCTGTCAGGTGCAGACACGTTTCTCAGACTGTTGGCCGAGTTTCCAGACCTGTCGCTACCCACCTTCTCTGCGCTTACCACTAAGCATGGCGTGGAACACCACGTCACTACCGGGGGGCCTCCTGTCTACGCCAGGGCCCGGCGGTTGAACCCTAAGCTGGCTGTAGCGAGGGCGGAGTTCGCAAACCATGGAGCGCCTGGGCATTGTCCGCCGCTCCGACAGTCCTTGGGCTTCCCCCCTGCACGTCGTTCCCAAATCGAACGGCGGGTTCCGTCCGTGCGGGGATTACCGCCAACTCAACGACGCCACTACGCCTGACCGCTATCCGGTGCCGCACATTCAGGACTTTTCGGCGCATCTGGCCGGTACGGGGGTGTTTTCCAAGGTAGACCTGGTGCGTGGATACCACCAGGTGCCCATGCACCCCCTGGACATTCCCAAGACAGCAGTGATAACGCCTTTTGGACTTTTTGAGTTCCTGCGGATGCCTTTTGGACTCAAGAATGCCGCTCAGACGTTCCAGCGCCTGATGGATTCGGTGCTGCGGGACCTGCCGTTTGTGTTTGTTTACCTCGACGACATACTCGTCGCCAGCGCTTCAGTGCAGGAGCACCTTTCCCACCTCCGAGCCCTTTTCACACGGCTCAACGAACACGGATTAATCATCAATCCTGCAAAGTGCCAGTTCGGGGTGTCGGACATCGATTTCCTGGGGCACCGCGTCACCAAGGGCGGTGCGACACCTCTGCCAGCGAAGGTGGAGGCTGTTGCGGCGTTTCCTCGCCCGCTCACAGCCCGGTCGCTCCGTGAGTTTCTGGGGATGGTGACTTTCTACCACCGTTTCATCGCCCGGGCCGCACACATCATGCGGCCGCTGTATGAAGCGTTGAAAGGCAAGACCCCCGTCCAGGAGATCGACTGGACAGCAGAGGCGGACGGCGCTTTTGCTGAGGTCAAGACCGCGTTGGCTCAGGCGGCTTTGCTGGCACACCCATCATCTACGGCTCCCATCTCCATCACCACGGACGCGTCAGACTACGCGGTCGGCGCAGTGCACGAGCAGTGGGTGGAGGGCGCTTGGCAAGCCGCTCGCCTTTTTCAGCCGCCAGCTGACGCCTAGAGAACGCAAATACAGCGCCTTTGACCGGGAGCTCCTCGGACTTTATTTGGCCGTGCGGCACTTCCGTTTCATGCTGGAAGGCCGTGAATTTACGGCGTTTGTCGACCACAAGCCGCTCACCTTCGCCATGTCAAAAGTGGCGGAGCCTTGGTCGGCACGTCAGCAGCGGCAGCTGTCCTACATATCGGAGTTCACTACGGACATTAAGCACGTGGCTGGCAAGTCGAACCTGGTTGCTGATTGCCTCTCCAGGGTCGTCATCGGTGCCGTCCAGTTGGGCCTGGACTATACTCGCATGGCGGCAGACCAGGTCACAGATCCCGGCGTCCAGGCCCTGAAGGTGGAGAGCCTTCAAGGGCTTCTGCGCTTGGAGGACGTGGTGTTCGGCGACGCAGGCATTACTCTCCTGTGTGACGTCTCTACGGGCCTGGCACGGCCTGTCGTCCCTGCCACGGCCTGTCGTCCCTGCCAGCTGGAGGCGTCCTGTGTTCGAAGCTGTGCACGGCCTGTCACACCCCGGCGTTAAACCTTCGGTGCGTTTGGTAGCGGCGAAGTTCGTTTGGCAAGGACTGAAAAGGGACGTGAGGACTTGGGCCAGGGAGTGCGTGGCTTCTCAACGCGCTAAGGTGCACCGCCACACGAAGGCCCCGTTGGAGCGTTTCCTGGTGCCTGAGAGGAGGTTTGATCACGTCAACATTGACCTGGTTGGTCCGTTGCCTTCCTCTCAGGGGTTTTCCTACCTCCTCACCATGGTGGACAGAACGACCCGTTGGCCGGAGGCGGTTTCGCTCGTTTCGACATCAGCCGCAGACGTTGCCCGGGCCTTCATTGCAACGTGGGTGTGTCGTTTTGGCACCCCGTCAGACATTTCCTCAGACAGGGGCTCTCAGTTCACGTCCGAGCTCTGGAACGCTGTGGCAGGCGGTTTGGGGGTTAAGCTGCACAGGACTACCGCTTACCACCCTCAGGCTAACGGCCTCTGCGAGCGCTTTCATCGCTCCATGAAGGCGGCCCTCAAGGCCGGCCTTACGGACGGTAACTGGGTCGACAAGCTGCCCTGGGTGATGCTGGGCCTGAGGACCGCACCTAAAGAAGACCTGCAGTGCTCTACGGCTGAGATGGTCTACGGTCAGCCGCTGAGAGTTCCGGGGGATTTCCTCCCAAATGCATCGGCTCCCTGGTTGGCGTCGGCCCAGCGGGCTTTCCTGCGTGACGCCGCTGAGGCCTTTGCTCCGATCCCTACTACTCAGCACGGTACTCAGGTGTCCCAGGTTCCCGCAGAGCTCCGCTCGGCGGAGCACGTGTTCATCCGGCACGATGCGCACAGAGGCCCCCTGCAGCCCCCTTATGATGGGCCTTTCCGGGTCTTGGAGCACGGGGACAAGCACCTGGTGGTCGACCTGGGTGGCAAGGCCGAGCACGTCTCGGTGGACCGGGTGAAGGCTGCTCACCTGGACTTGGACCAGCCTATGGTGCTGGCTCGACCTCCGCGACGGGGCCGCCCCCCGGCCTCGTCCCCTGTCACGGATTTAAGACCTGTTGTTCCGGTCCCTCCCCTTCCGGGGGCCGCACAGTCACTTTTCCGACTCCCGTGCTCAGGAGTCGTGGGGGTCGGCGTGTCGTTCCTCCCCGCCATGCTGATTTTGTTTATGTGTGAATTCTGGGGGGGCTTGTGTGGTGACACGTTATTGGACATAATTCACCTTGCTTATTGTGTTGCCACACGGACCCTTTAGTGGGGAACACCTGTAGCTTTAGCTGCCATTCCTGCTAGCTCATCAGGCAGAGCAGTGCATGTGTTAACCTCTCTGAAAGTAATGGATAATAAAGATTGGAACTCCATTCTTAATACACCGCCTCCGACTCTCTTTTCACAGCACTACAACATCCAATTTTTAGGCTCTAAGGTGATGATTTTACATGTTTGGTTTTATAGTCCAAGAACCATCGATCATGAGGTATAAAATGGAAAAAGGCAAGAAATCTCCACATTTGATTGGCTGAATATGCCAATTCTGCCATTATTGCATGATCATTTCGATGAATCAAAATAAAAAAATGTGCCAATTCTGTTTCCATGTACTCTACTAAGCAGCTCTAATAGTGATGACAACTCTAATATTTACAAGTGCAGTTTAATGAAGAATCTTTTGACCCACATTCTTTTGTGGCCCTTTTTTGCCAGAGGAAGCTTGAACATACTTTAAACAGAACCTCATTTTAACAGCATTATCCATCAACAAAGCTGATTTTTTTTTTTATTGGCTTCTAATTTAAACTGTTTAATTTATTTGTTTTACACAACATAAAAGTTGTGTAATATTTGTGCAATTTTCTTAAAACAAGTGGCATTCATAGCCTGGTCTGATTTACATGAATCAAAATACATTCACAAACCAGTGTAATAATTGCACACATTTCTAAATCATTTAAACACTATATGGTGTTGGTCTCTTTACAAGATTAAATAACCTTTAGATGAAAGGATCAGGTGTTGCTTACAGGACCGCAAGGTGCCCCATCTTCCTGGTCATATATAGTCCATGAAACATTATACAGACCACAGTTCAGCAGGGCCACAATCTCCCACAATGCAAACACTGACTCACTGTAGTGGTTGAGGAGTGCATGTCAACACCTGATAACTGTGGTCCTGTCTAAGCACTTCCTCTCATCACCCCGACACATTGTTACTACTCTTCTGTGCACTAGAGCTTACACATGTATATCCTTTCTTTACTTCCTGTGATTGTACAGGCTTGACTCTGCGTGTATTTAATAAGCTGTACTGACATGAGGTAGAGCATTCATTATTCAGCGCATGTTTTTTTTAAATGTTCTGCAACCCACAGGAGGCAAGTCACTGTATAATTACAGATACTGAACCTAGTGTTGCATATTGTGTTCGCCCCAACTGAATACTTTGTTTACTTGACCTTTTCCACTCAATGCATAAAAGTAATTTCCCTTTCGTCTTTGTTCTTCTCAGGTGGTGTTGGTCTTTGCGCTCAGCATCGGGGCCCTCGGAATATACTTCATAGACTCATCAGAGTAAGTATCAGTTTCATAAAACATTACCTAAAATAAGTTTACATTTCACACATGCTCCAGCAGTATGAAATATTGATAAAGATAAACGTAGTTGTTGGAAACATTAATGTTACCCCACATACAGTTTCTGAGTGATATGAGCACATGTGTCCTTACTCACTTCCAAACTCTGCAATCTCTGAAATGCAAATGAACATAATCACACAAACCGTGGTGCACATACAGAGTACACACACACCCACACCCACACATCTGCATCTGAGGATATTTCAATGGAAGGCCTGTCAGTTTCCATGGTAACAGAGACAGGGAGATAGTGTATGTGTTGGGCACTGGTTCTGTGTGTAAGTGAGTGTGTGTGTTGTCGGTTTATGCGTATTCCTGGTTGGCAGCCACCCAGAGACCGATTGCAGGCCTGGCATCTTTCCGATGCAGCTACTTTCACTTTCTCCAGACCCAAACTGTACCTTTTTGAAAAGGAGAGTTTTAAATGTATGAATATTTTATTGTCTGGTCCGTTTCTGTCTGGTAGAGATATTGACTAAATCGCCCTGGCACTAAGTACCGTTGTCAGACCATACTGGTGAGATGTCTGGTAAAGTAAAACAGCAGCTAACTAATGCAGCAAAAAAACCAACCTAATTCACTTTGATTGATGATGTAATATGGTGAGTGCTTTATGTGAACAGGAATTATATTAAACGTGGTATTCAAAACAAAGACATGTACTCTGAAATATACAAGTTCTATATATTATTTGGTTTATTTTCTCAAAACAAACACATGTGTTGACTCTCCCAGTCTCAGTTAGTTTATGGGGCTAATGTATAATAATATTTGACAGAAATTCTACACTTCCTGCCTTCAGTAAGCAGTGAAGGCAGTGTCAGTAGTCAACAGTTCTTTTAGTTTTTGGATCACCATAATTCAGAGTTCAATGATTTTAAATCAAAGCAAAAGCGGCAATTTACTGTTTCCAATTATGTATAATTTGTTGAATGTGCCTCTGGTAATGAAATAACTGATGTTGTTTCACTATGCCAGACAAAGAAACTCTCCGTGCCTTGGACTAATCAATATTTCTTGCAAAACGTAACCAAAATAAAACTTAAAGTTGTCTGTGGCCCCTGAGGTTGTGGATGGTTGACTAGAACATATTGACCATGTTACTGTATCATTCTTTTTCTAATATTCATTCTCTGTTAACTGTCGTGCAGGATGTTATCTTTGAGTAAAAGCTATCTTTGCACCTTGAAATTATATCCCAGAGCTAAAGCAGAGTCTAAGAGAGGGTTATAACATTCTCAAAATAGGTCAATCCAAAATGCAATCCATTTTATACAGTCTTATCTTGGCAGCAGTTGGAAATTATTCCTGGCATGAATCTGGTTTCCCATTTATACCTCAGGAGAAAAATATTTACTTACCTCTACATATTTATTTATATTTTCATATCTGTCTATCTTTCCCCCTTTTTCCCCCCTCTCTACCTCTTGAGTATTTTTTGCAAAAAAAGTAGATCAGAAGACACACAGTCTTTGCTACTTATATACATTTATAAGCTCATATAATAACCAGATTATGACTAAGCATGCACTTTAAGCGATATATGGTCAGTAAATCTTTAACATCCTACACAAAAAGCAGCCACAGAGAATGGATGGGGTTCAGGCAACATGCATTTATTCAGTCAGGGTGAAATTAAACCTCCAATATGTCATCAAAAGTAATGAGCTTGCAGCATGCAAGCTCATTACATGTGTAATGTTCTGGTTAGTGATGCATACAACAAATCACTCAAGTTACCTGACTGAAAGGCATTGAAACATTGGACCTAGATTGGATATACATATATTTAAAATTCTGCACTGCATTGATCTCTCTGAACCCCTATGTGAAGGTTATAATGCATCCGTAACAGATCCCCTGAGATGAGGTCTAGTATTACTTTGGCATTATCACCAGGCTAACATGACTCTTGAGCATGCTTTCATTGACATACATGAACACATGATAAGCTATCAACTAGAAACACACACCATGGTTAGGAAGGTAGAAAGCACAAGGTTTGTTGTTGTACTGTATCATGCCATGACATCAAACCTGCAGGGCACAGAAGGAGAATAATTAAAGCACTGACTGCAGAGCTTTAGTTTCTCCCACTGTATATCCTCATTTCATTCGGTATGTTATGCTTTTTACGTGTATTCCTATGAAAATCGACTTCCCTAAGGCATTGCCCCGATCTCCCCGTGCTCCCATTAAACCGAGGCCTTCTCTACTCATCATCGTGATTAGCTCAAGCTTGTCACTTGAGTGTGCCATCCTCTCAGGGGGGCTGCTGATCAACCCAGAGAAGATTGACACAAATCAGGGGGCTTCAGCATCCTTAACAGGGCCAGGCTAGTGTTATACATTTACTACAACAGCTGTAACCTCTTATGTGCTCTACACCCATTGTTACATGTCATAGAGCCGACATGACACTATATCTGTCGCCTGAAAAATACCTGTATTTATGTCTGCCACAATGTATTTTACGTACTGTAAAATGTAATGCGAAAACATGTCTGATGTTGCAAAAAAAGTCAAGATGTTTCATATGGGCCATCAAATGGTTTTCAATTATCATGTTTCGTCCACACCAGCTGTCAAAAGTAAACACTGATTTAGTATCAAATCAAATCAAGTTTTATTTATAAAGCACATTTATAAACGATTTTTGGTCGAGCCAAAGTGCTGTACATATAATAAAAATAGCCTACAGTAAAGACACTTTACAGCAAATACAACAGCACAGATTGTTCAGAATATCAGTATGAGAAAAATGACACCCTCTATCCTTAGACCCTCACATCGTACAAGGAAACACTTCCAGAGAAAACCTACAGTTTAAGGGGAACATGGGAGAAACCTCAGGGAGAGCAACAGAGGAGGGATCCCTCTCCCAGGACGGACAGACGTGCAATAGATGCCGTGTGTAAATCGAAGAGATAATACATTTTACAGCATATAGACCGAATGTTAGGAAATGCATGTGTCTGTAATAAGAAGATGAATCCACGAGGATGTCAGCTACAATCCTGTGGAAGCCATCAGGGAAGCAGCATGACGAGACCCAAGGCAGGACCGCAGAGACAGGTTCAGCCACGACCCGAAGTCCACGACTTAATCCAGAACTCAGGATAGAGGATCCTGGACACAGGACTACAGCAAGAGGATCAGCCTCGACTCCGGATCCCGGCGTAGATATAGATACAAAACAAGAAAAAAGATTCGGCTGGGTTAATCGGAACAAGAGAATACACAGACACAGACAGAGAGGGAAAAGGTCATTGGATAAAAGTTATTCTTGATAACCCTCTAGAAAGATCTCATGAACTTCCCCACTCAATCTATCAAGACCCGAGCTGTTCTATTAGATATAGGATAAGAAACAACGATTGTTTCAGAGATTGCGATTGTAACAACAAGGGTCCAGTAAAGCAAAGGGTTAGATCTTAAATATGTTTCAAAATCAAAAGTTTGACTTTTTTAGGTCAATTTTCTTTAAAAACATTTTACACAAGGACACACATCTTGACAAACGCTCCTTCTCTGGCTATCAGCTTGTGTGTAAAAGGGGCTGCATACATCTTGATTTATATTCATACCCCCATTCACAGGTACTAAACATGATCTACAGTTGTACAGATCTAAATGTTAATGACTGAAATAAATCGATGAGCGCAGATTTATATCGTAGCTCAATGGTTTATGGTCAAATTGACATTTTTGACCATTGGATGAAGAGAACTTCTTTCAGAAATTGTCTGTTAAAAAGGCAACATTAATTGGAAGGATTCTGGTGGAGACTCTGTCTTGACAGATAAAAGAGTCATGTGGTGGACTAAGTGCATGTGGGTTGGACCCGGGGAGGCACGATGTGCTTTTATGTCTTCTTCAGTGAAGCAGGGTAGGCCCCTGGGGCAAGGACACAAAAACATGCACACACAAAATCCTGAAGAACAGCGTACCTATCTGGTCGCCAGTCTCCCAGGAACTGTTTCATTCCTTCTGCTGCAGTTATGTAGGGCTTTCCTAGCAGGCACTCTATCCTGCAGCAAAGACCCACAGAAAGACACTGCAGAGCCTTTTGTGGAAGCAGGTAGAAAGAGTTTTAAGAGAGAAAACTGATCATTTGCTTCCCTAGTTGAGCACAAATATATGTAGTCATTGACTTGGCAATGGTGATGTCGTCAAGAGGCCTGTTTTTGGAATGAATTGGATTTAGTATGTGGCTTTGCTGAGAATGACCGTCCATCTGTTTGTTTTGAGAAAGTAGTTGTTTACCACAGTCCTGCGCATCAAATAATGTATGATAAGCCTCTGCCTTTTCTGTTCCTCTACAGTAGACTTCACTTGCCAAACGGATGCTATTTTCGTGACATTTTCAATGGGAGGATACTGCGTCCTCTCCCGCCCACATCTGAATCTGCTTTAATACTTTGGCTCATCCTTCATCCCTTATTTTTCCTCCTCTGTGCTCCTATGCAAAACATATAGAGGAATGTAGGACAAAGTCTCTGCAGGCTGTTCTTTAAGGGATGCCCTTGTTCCTGCTCCAATTCTGTTTCTATTTCTCTCCTCTCTCGACCCCTCCCTGTCACACAATCTATTACAGGCACCAATTGCATAGTCACGTTAACTTGCAGATATGCACTCGCGTATAGACACACACCAACTTTGTCTCTTGTCTGAGAGGCCTCTTAAGCAGCGGCCTCGGCCTGTAACTCTATCATTAGTGAGCGATCAATGACAGCTCTGAAAAAAGAAACTGTGCCTAATGACTAATTAATTGGGTAAGGTGAGAAATATGGCTTAGCACTGAGACAAGCTTGGCAGACTATGTGGCGATGAAGGGTGACCTATATAAGGACCTCTCGTTGATCCGAAGGGACGGGGTCTCCACATGGGTCAGAGAGGCCCATGTACCCATGAAAAGTCTAAGTTGTTCCAAA